AAGAGATAATTGAACTGTGGTTTATCTACACTCGAGATGCCACTAAATCCTACCACCCACTGGTCCTTTTAATGGCGTGCTCAGTTAGAAGATAGTGTCACCATTACCATAGTTTGTCTTCGGAGCCTGACATATGTTGTTTATTGTAAACATGTCTCATTTAGTCCATGTCTTGCTCACGATTCAAGAACAATATATCAGCCAAATATATTTAAACATTCCATTATATATTATAATATATATATATATATAGTATTGGCAGGTTTCTATTGAGAACTGAGCTTTAAAAAAGATTATGTGCGCAACACAAGTGCTTTAAAACCAACTGTGTTTTGTTTTACACAGGTATGAAGGTCAAAGAGAGCAGCTGGCTCAGCAGTCTTTTAACATGGAGCAGGCAAACTACACAATTCAGACATTAAAGGACACCAAAACAACAGTAAGAGTCACACAACAAGAAGTAGTGTGGGTTGGTGTGAGGCTGTAAAGTTTTTTAAAACTACAGCGTTTGGTCACGTTGAACATGTACGACTAGCTCCTTGTCATGCTGTCTTATGTAAGACGTGATTTTTTTTTGTTCGGTCAACTAGCAAACAAAATAGTTCCTAGGAGTAGCTGACATTGAGTCAAGTCTTGAAATTTGAACATAGTGCTGGTCTCCAGATTCAGAGCTGACTGGATTCCTATCGGTACGTGTCTTTACCAGAGAAGCTGCTGTAGATAGAGTCGCTTTTTACCACTGACTAAATATATCTTATATCTGCGATGTGTCTTCTGTTCTCAGGTGGAGGCCATGAAGATTGGTGCAAAGGAAATGAAAAGGGCTTACAAGGACGTCAAACTCGATCAGATTGACGTATGTTTGTCATACACCACTACACTGTTTCTGTTGTTAATTATATATTGATTGTTTAGACTGAACCAGGTGTCAATACAAAGGAAATAGTAGTTTTTAAATAACCACCTTTTAGATGTCTTACCTTTCTTGTCCTGCTGGTATAAATAATTAACCTTTTTTGTATATCTTCTTCTGTATTTTCATTTCTAAAACTGTTGCTGCTTGTTGCTAATTGTCAGGTTCCTTAGTCCAGCTTCAGTCGAATGTTGTCTGATTTCAACAACCAAGACTAAAGAGTACTAAAACCAGCACACATACATATAAGTTTAAATGTGGCCTGATGAGGAAATTTACCAGGTCTTGCTCATTTACAGTGTCCTCCACGGTTACATGATTATTTGTTCTTAAATTCTTATAAAAACAGGTGAATTTGCATCTTGCGTGACAGTTTAATGTTGGTTGCAAGTAAAAATCAATATTCCAGATTTACCAATTAGATATCGGACATTAAAAGTGATCACATGTATTTTTCAGGATTTACAAGACCAACTGGAGGACATGATGGAGGACGCCAACGAGGTGCAAGAGGCCCTGAGCCGCAGCTACGGCACTCCAGAGATAGATGAGGATGATCTTGAAGCAGGTATACCTGAATGTCTCCAACATATTTACTTTGCATTTTCCTTCTGGGCAGACACCTTTATCTAATATAATCATCAACATTTAAAACACAGAAATGGGTGCAAACTTAAAGCTCTCAGCTCTTAACAAATCGAGCAGGTACTTTAAAATGACTTACTGAAAACCATATATATAACATGATTTTATGTTGTCACTGATCTTCCTTTCACTTTAAGTCTTTGTATGTTAATATATTAAACATATCCACCACAGAGACCAAAACTAACTGTTTAGGCAGTTCTAAACAACTAACAAAGTAAAAAAATCTCTAAATTAGACTGTTAAATAGTGAACAAAAGTGAAACAGCTACTGCTACGTCACTCTAGTTGCACTAAAAATTGAAGGCACAAAGATTTGATATTAAACAATCATGTGTCAGTAATCATAATCAAATTACACAAAGTATTTTACAGAAACAAAATATGATAACTGAAGTGCCTACAGTGTCACAGTGACAGTGTAACTGCTTTCAGAGCTGGACGCACTGGGTGATGAACTGCTGCTGGATGATGACAGCTCCTACCTGGACGAGGCCTCAGCTGCTCCGTCTATCCCCGAGGGAATCCCCAGTGACAGCAAGACAAACAAGGTAACAGTCTTCAGATCAGATGCAGAGATCGCTGTAACTGATGTCACACTCGAGGCCCAGATTGGAAGTTAAATCAGAAATAATCATGTGGTTTTATTTTACAGTTACAACTTAATGTCAAACCATAACATAGGTTTTTTTTTTAGGGTTTTCCCACCTTCCAGGGAGCCACTTGTTTTAACGTGTTTCCTTATTGTATGAAAGTAAACGGAAGGATCCAACAGCGTTAACCTCTTTCATCATCGTATTTTCATCCTAAAATGACCCTGAAAACACATCCACGGAAGCTCCAACATCTTAGATTCAGAACTGCAGATCCTTTTTCACCGGGGCATTGTGCAACCAATGTGCGTGCATGCCGTTTCTCATCTGCTTCTCAAGGCGCAGATGTCACATAAAATCAGGATTTGTCTTTGAGCTTCCCAAAATGATTGCACAACAGAAAACCTCTTGAATTAATCTATTCTTAACAGGCTCTTTTAGCTGTATTTCTGTGTAACAATACAGCAAGTCTGACAAAGTGGCAGCATGAAGTTGACTGTGATTGATTACTAATACCCATACCCCTACAGCTTCCATTAAAACCAACCAATGTGAAGTTTTTTGTAGTAAATGGGCTCAAACGTGTGCAACTGTAGCTGTTTGCTCTGACAGAATCCGTCCTGTTTAACGTCAACCAACTGAAAGAATAAAAACACTTGTACAAATGTAAGTGTGTGTCTAGAGGTCTGTTTGCTCGTGATTGCAGTCAAATGTTTTCTTCTTTTTCTTTTCAGGATGGTGTTTTGGTGGACGAGTTCGGCCTGCCACAGATCCCCGCCACATAAACAGGGAATGGATTATAACAACTGCACTTCAACTAAAAACACTTTTATATGTAGAGTAACATTTATACATGCAAAACCATTTGCCCTGAGAACACTACGATTTTGAAGCTGTGTTGGGTCGTGTGTTGTTACCACTACCGTGCTAGCATGTGGCCTTGTAACATACTGAACCTTTTTTTAAAACATTACTCCCCTTTCCTCCCTTTTGTCCCCCTCCCCGCTCGGTCTCGTCTGAACAGTATTACCTAGTAATAATTTATTTTTGTTTTATGTTTCTTCTAGTTTTGTGTGTTGTTTGGTCATTACCATCTCGTTTGAGTTCTCAAGAGTCTGTTCAAATGTCTGCAGGTTATTGGAAACATGCAAAATAAATGATGTGTTTTAATTTACGCTTAAATTATTGATTTACTGAGTACTGTCTCATCCTTCTTTCTTTGTTGGTTTTTATTTCTTCCTCCTCCTGTGAATTGAAGTGTTGGCCAAGAGAAGGCAGAGGAGTTATGCACTTCATTAGGAGGTGGACTACTATCAATATTATTGAAATTACAGTATAACCAGGACCAGATTAACTGGTGTAAACATTGCTTACTTTCTGACTTCACCACACAGTGACAAAGTTTGTGACATGAGTATCACTCAGATGTACATATATGTAATAGTGAGGCCACTATTTATGCAAGACAAAAGCTTAATATTTTAAAATCAACACAGTTTTATTGTGAAAAATTACAATAACAAAGAAACAGTGAGTACGTTTTAAAAAAGGGATTTCAGGATTCTGTTCCTGTCTGAAACAAATCCTCCAGTGTAATAGTCATGCTGCAGGGAAAACTGCCTGGCACTGCTCGCCTTGAATGTGGTCCATTTTGCGTATTGCTCCTCTGCTTTGACCTTACGCTTCTCAACCTTTTTCTCTCTGTGGTCGCAGTACTTATCCACCCAGTATCCGACTGTGAATCTGTCCGGCAGCCGCTGCAGGGTCTCCTTGTGTTTTTCTTAAAACGAGAGAAGCAACATACAATTTGATGAGCACAAAATCAAACATATACAAGGTCAATGTAGAGTTTAAAAAGTTTGGGAATCACTGCTCTGTCTAGTAAAAACTAAGTAAATTGTAAAAATCTAATTTTGGTATCAGTTGTTGAGCTTCCTTGCTTGCGAGAGAGGCATGTGTTTGGATAAAAAGCAAGGTTGTGGTGACACCAGACAGCACTCATTAAGTCAAGTTGAGAGATTTATTTCATAATTACTTATTTATAGTATAATAATCAACACTTTAGGCCTCTATCTAGTATTAAATAAGCAGGATGAAAGAATATTACACAAACCTTCAGGCTTGGGGCCTTGTTTTGCAGCAAAGAGGCGATAGGTGGCACTGTTTCTGTGGTGCCTCTCTTTGACAGGCTCACTGTCCATTTTCTGCTCTCCAACCCAGTTGTTGTGCAGAGTTCTCTTTTTCAGTGGCTCCTTGGCCTTCAGGTCAAGGGTCAGGCACTCTGGGCTGGCGTGGTCTCCCACCTTTGGCAGACGACAGAGCTCAGCCTCCTCTCGCCTCCTCTGTTGCTCCTTTTTCAGATCATCTATGGTGAACTTGGGCCATTTGACCTGCTCCTCCTCCTTCGGCCACAGACGACTCTCTTTCTCCAGTTTGTCTTGTTTTGTTTTCTCCAGGGCCTCTAGTTCACTCGCCCTCTCCTCCTCCTCCTCTCTCTGATGGGCCTCCTGCCTCATCTTCAGCAAGGCCTCCAGAGCGACTCTTTCTCTGCGCTCCATCTCCATTACTTTCAGCTCGACATACATTTGTCGTCTGACCTCCCTCTTTCTTTCCTCCGGGGTCAGTTTTGTCAAGGTTTTCAGCCGCTCCATTTCAGTACGGAGGGAAGTTCGTTCTCTTTCGATCATTGTTGGTTGTTTTGTTGATATACTCTCTCTCTAACTCTTATGCTCTCACTACAACAGGTTTGTGGTAATAATGCTTCCAGACGGGGAGTTCTCTCTATTTAATATGATTCCACTCTAACATGACAGTTGACATTCTAGAATGGGAGCATTCCAGTGAAACATAGAATTCCATATAAGCCAACATTCCGTATAACACTGTATAACACTGTGTAACACTGTTGTAACACTGTGTTAACCTGGTGTAAACACTGTATAATTACTGGTATAACAACTATATAGAACACTGTTTGTAAACACTGGTTTTGGGGTAAAACTACTGTGGGTAAAACACTGTTATAATACTGTTATAACCACTATAATAAACTTCGTGTACCTGTGGTTAAACAACTGTTTGGGTTTAACCACTTGTTTATATAACTGTAAATACACTGGGGTGGTAAAACTGTGGTAAACACTGTTGTAAACACTGTAATAAATACTTGTATAACACTGGTGGTTAACACTTGGGTTGTAAACACTGTGGTTAAACACTGTATAATACTGGTTAACACCTATAATAAACACTGTGGTAACACTGGTTTGGGGTAAACACTTTGTTTTGGGTTTTTAATACTTGTGTACACTGTGTTAAACACTGTATAATACTGGTGTAATACTGTTATAATACCTGTATAAATTACTGGTGTAAATACTGTGTTAATGACTGGTGTAAACACTTGGGTATAAATACTTGTATACAACTGTGTAAAACACTGGTATAATACTTTGTAATACCTGTTATAAACACTGTTTTGGTAACCATGGTATATACCTGGTTTAATAATACTTGGTGTAAATACTGTGGTAATATTGTTTATTACCTGTTGTAACACTGTGTTAATCTGTATAATAACTGTGGTAATACTGTGGTAACACCTGTGTCCCTTATACTTGTTTGTAATAACTGTGGTAAATACTGTATAAATACTGGTATAATATGGTGTACACTGTGTAAAAATTACTGTATAATACTGTTAAATATACTTGTATACTGTGGGTAATACTTGTATAATACTGTGTATACTGGTGTTTAATCTGTTGTAATACTGGTTGGTATACTGTTAATACTGGTGGTAATACTTGTGTCTTTAATACTGTTGTAATTTAACTGTGTATACTGTATAATACTTGGTATAATACTGTGGTTTAACCAACTGTGGTAATACTGGTTTTATAATACTGTATAAAAATAATAACTGTGTAATACTGGTATTAAAATAACTGTTTATAATACGTGGTGTTAAAGCACTGTGTAATACTGTATAATACTGTATAAATACTGTGTTAACACCTATAAATCTGTGGTAATATGTATATACTGTATAATACTGTGTACCTGTTTATTGATACTGTAATAATACTGTTGTAAAATGGTATAATACTTGTATAATACTGTATAAACTATACTGTTGGTAAAAACATAATAAATACTGTGGGTAAAACACTTGTATGTAATACTGTATAGATACTGTATACACTGTTATAATACTGTATAAATACTGTATAATACTGTGTAATAACTGGTATAATCTGTGTAAATACAGTATATCTGTATAACACTGTATAATACTGTTAATATACTTGTATAAAACAACTGTGTAATATGTGTAAAAACTGGTATAATTGTGTAACCACTGTAATAATACTGTATAATAACTGTTAATACTGTGTATACTGTGTAATACGTATAATTACTGTATAATACTGGTGTTAACAACTTGTATAATACTGTTATTAATACTTGTTTTGTACACTGGTTATATACTGTATATACCTGTTGGTTAATACAGTTTATATTACTGGTTATATACTGTATAATCACAACAGTTTTTGAGTCAATTTCCATGAAACTTTGCACAGACATTCAAGTTACCCAGTGGTTCCCTGACTTTGCCCCTAGCACCATGTTTGGGTTTTAATGAAATATCTTGATTAGAGCCAATAATGGACTATTGCAGACATATTAGTACTGTATTGGTATCAACCTTTATGTTATCCGATATGATTTTAGGGTATATAATGCAGAATCAAATGCTTGTGTTAATATATTGGGGTCAGTGCAAGGTTTATCCAGCAGAGTGCGCTGTGATTTACAATCCAATACAATCTTTAACTCAAATATTGTTAAATAAAGTTATTTGTTTAACAATAGTTGACTATTTCTGAGTACCTCATATCAGATATGTGATGAGTGAATTACTTCCCTAAAAAATGGGTATCAGTCTCAAAAATCCCATATTGGTCAGGTTCTAATCTTGACAATGATTGGATGGATTGTCATGAAATTTGGTGCAAATGGATGCCAACAGGATGAATTCCCTCTAGCGCCACCAGCTGGTGAAGTATGTCAACATCAACTGGATGGATTTGAACAATATGTAGTACAGGCATTGTCTTAATGACTTTGGTGATCCCTTGACTTTTCCTCTAGCACCCCCATGATGTTAATATTTGTGGATTTGAGTGAAGCTTGAAAGAACTATTTGTTGTAACAAGCTGTTACAATTTAGTGCCCACATTCATGTTTTCTTCTTCTTTTAACTCTAATTCCTCTTTGTACTTTGAGAAAAACTAAACTACCATTCTAATCAACAATTATATTATATTATAATAAAGCAATAATGTCACAGTAATACAAAGGCAGTTGTTTGAATAAATAAATACACTGAAATGAAATCAGTACACACAAAAATAGTAGTATGTATACAAACACAAGAGCAACAGCTGAATTATGCAGTCTGTCAGTGTCCTCCTGTAAAACTATTGAGGCATATTCTTGGCCTTTTTTCACACCTAAATGCTGTTTTAAACCATATGGTTTAAAATGATATGTTATTATTGCTTTTTTAATAATTTAATAATATTTAATCCTATTTTTTTTAACAAGTAATGAAATAGTCATTTATTCAATATGTAGGAATCAGCTCATAAAATAGTTAGAGTGTTTATTTCTCCTGGGTTGCTAAAATCCATTACAAGAAATATCAGACGTATGGCAAAAGTGTCTTCCCCCCTAATTCGGTGTATGTACGTCCCTAGACACATCTGTAACATATGTCAGTGAAAAAACTGTTTACATCAGAGGAACACGGCTCATCTGGTTACCGTAGTTTGAAATGTGCATGTGTGTGGGTCAATGAGCAGTTTTGGGAAAGGGGTGAAGTCAACAGCAAGTTATTTTAAAAGTCCGACTCTGGTGGGACTCGAACCCACAACCTTTGAA